GGCGTTCATCTTCTCCACCAAACAGGTGAGCGCCGTCTCCGTGGACTCGCCCACCTTCTCATACACACCCTTCGTCTGGAACAACACAACAAATCATGTTAGTGTACTTTTTATCTACATTTAACTACTTTTTCTGTCATTTTCTGATGTTGTATTATTATTTTAGGGCTTTAGGATCTTTACTATTTTCTCCAGCTTCAACTAGTTAATGAATGAATCAGATCGCTGTGAGTTAATTTCATTGTCAAAATATAAATAGACACACATGTATAGAATGAAATGAGTATATAAAGCTCACAAAAAGTACTTTGTGTAACTTTTTTATTATAATCTTTTTTTATCTTGCTTCTTAGTTAACATTAAGCTGTCTTTGGCTCTTTCTACGGTGGCCCTGAAGTGCAAGAAGTCAAAACAACATTTCACAAAACACCACAGCATTTCAAGAAATGAAGACAAGAAGTGTTCTCCCTAAAGGAATACCCTTTCCGTAGAAGTTGAAATGCTGTGGCGTTTTGTGAAATGTTGTTTTGACTTCTTGCACTTCAGGGCCACCGTACTTTTCTGCTGTAACAAATGTAAATGTCCCCTCTGTGGGACGAATAAAGGTATTCTGATTCTGATTATCTTTTAAAATAAGTATTTTCTTTTCTTAATATAACTTATAGTTGTGTTTAGATGTATATTCTTTCAGTGTATGGAGAAGTCATCACATTTTATACTTAGGTAAAAGTAGTAGAAATACTCCCTATTTTTCTGAGTTGTTCCTTTAGTAAAAGTATAAGTAAGTATTGATGGAGGAAGGGTTCAGACCTCGTTGAAGTCCAGCGAGGAGTCGTTGCACAGAGCGCAGATGGTGGCCAGTTCAACCAGAGCGTCGTACTGGGAGGACTTCACTGGTTTATCATTATGGAACCTGGAGGGCAAGATAATAACACATGATTAAAAATGATAAAACATTAACATCATACTTGATTGTTGAAGCTTGGGACCTAAGATTTTCATCGACATAACTACACTGTAGCTATGTACGAATGAAAATAAAAGAATATTGAATCTCAAAAAAACCTGAAGGGCAAGATAATAACTTGTGTTAAAAAAATTATATAAAATTAATATCGTTACATTTTCAAAAGGCACAACATGGGGTCTCTCGATCGGAACAATATGAAAACAAAGAGTTAGTTGGCGTCCATTTCTGTCAGACATTCCTAAATTAATTGTTTCGTTTTTTTTTATCAGGAGCCAAATTATCCAAAAAGGTATTTTAATCGGAAAAAACCAGCTGAACCAGTGATTCAAACCAGTAAAAACACTAAATAAAGCCGTTAGCTTGGCTCAATCCTCTGATAATGTAAGAGGACAGTTCAGAGCCACTGAGTGTGCGGTAAAAATGTGGATTAAACCTGGATGAAAAGTCCATTTATGATTATATATGATGATAATATACGAGTTTGACACATGCTAAAGGGGATAAGACACCATTACCTTCAATTCAATTACAATTTCCCTGAAACTACACAACTTCATTAAAAATAAAACATTGGTCTAGTGGTTTCAATGGAAGACATTGTACATATTATACATTTAAATACCTGTTTGAACTCCATTTCCCCTACAGTTAAAGACAATAGATGATATTTAGTACTCACACTTGTCCCTCAGGAGCGTACGTAGACCCTGTGATGGTGAACTCTGACAGATCACAGCTGTCTCCTGCAACTTTGTTCACAACGAACATCTGGAAAACAAACACAGAGATTCGTTTTTTAGATTTTGAAGAAAAGGGATGACATATCCAGCGGGTACCTTTATATAAATACCAGGGTGTAATGATATACATGTGCTTTTCTGGAACATTGAATATATGAAAAAGAGTCGGGTAAATATTGTCTTTAGTGTTTGTAATGTGTTAAATAATTTGATTACTCTATTCAGGGTTCATACACTTTTTCACCAATGATTTTCAATGACTTCTCCAGGACCT